CTCCCATCGCTGTCTCCACTGCGGGTGCTCCGATTCCCTTCCGACGAGGTAAGCTCTGCCATTCTCTCCATCATCCATGTTCTTTGCCGCCGATTCAATAGACCATATCTGTCTCTTTCATACGACAGCCGATGCCGGGCTACACACAAGAAAAGATTGAGGGCAAACCATAGAGAATCCCTCCCTGCGCTGGAAACTACCTGTCATATGTTCAAAATAAATAATGAGACGGAAATTATTTAAATTTCTAGAATAACCCAGAAGACTGTTGAAAATTACCAATTATTTTTCATTTCTCGAGTGTCCGACCTTTATTTAATTGGGTATAGCTAACTAATTGGGGGTCATCTCTAAATAACTATTCAAAAGCCTCTTTAAAAGACAAAACGGTGTAGGTTGATTCATTCCCATGACCGTCAAATATCTTGTATTGTCTTCCTATATCAACCTCAGATGCATACCCTTCCATCAATAAGATAAAAGTATTCCATATTTATCTTGGACTTCTACTATACGTTACTACTAAGATATTAAAAGTAATCGTACCTCGTGAATGACGAAGAATGTACATTTTTCATTCTGTCAATTATTTTTTCTTATCTGTTATCAATAGATATAAAAGAAAGGAAAGTAAAACTAGGCTTGTATAATAACTTGCATACCATTTCCAGCTGTATCAATTTTTATCTTGAGTTGATTTCGTCATTGATTTCTCCTTCTCGTGGAGATATATCCAACCGCGAACTTATACGACTGCTCTACCAACACTCCATAGGGACATAGTTTTAAACATTAGGAGAAGGTCCCATAGGTACCAAATGGACTGGAGTACAGATTCCCAGCTATCCTGGTCACTTTAGGAGGTTTGCATAACCAATCACATTGATTCCTGGAATTTGCTTCATTCCTTTGTATGTACACATCCTCATCAAATCCTAAACGTATTAGAATATATGCTGGTCCCCACGGAGGCAAGTCTCCCCACGATATTTAGTTAATGGCCACCACCAAATAACAAGCAATGTGGAATCTAACAAGGGAGAAAGGGATATCACAGCATGGCAGATTTACGTGGAAAAGTAAACATGGAGGAAAACCACGAGATAAAAGGTGCAATGACTTTTATATAAAGAACTCTAAGTTCATTAATATCCATCGCTTCTCACCATGTGCACGTTACAACCCCATACAGCTGCAGTTCCTCCTCACCATCTTAATCGAATTGGGGTTTAAATGCGTCGTCAAAAGACAGATATCTTTTTTTGATGCCCATGTTGACATCCCACATCAATATGAAGAATTCAAGACTTAATGAGGATATCATCAAATTTTGCTCTTTTGAGTATATGTATTATAACCCAGGTCTATGTTTCGTAATGTCAACCAATGATGCCACACGTCAATTTATGCAAACCTTAGAAATAATTGATGTATATTTTCGATATACTACTAAAAATTGATGAGGTAATACTTTCTATGACAGTATGATTATCTGTTTCAGAGGAATTCACATTTCGAAATCTGATTTGATCTGTTTCAAGTTTTGAAGTGATTAAGTTAAGTTGATGTTTTCTACAAGAGAAGAACAATAACAATAGTAGTTGTCATCGACTGCTCTAGGAAGTATTAAATCCAAACCAAGTTGCAAAGGGAGTAAGATTTCAAATATCTTTGCCATATCCATTTACAACTTGGATGAAATCCGAACCATCATTGAGGTAGGCCTCACTTTCCTACCACATGAACGCTTCAACTCCTATTCAATGTTTCAATGGTAGATACCTTAACATGCCGTGATTTACATTAAAATAAGTTAGTGTACAAACACGCCCCTCCTATCTTTAACGTAGAAATGAGGAACATAACTTGCGTAAGGGATAAATAATTGGCAAAACAATTATACATGAAAATATATGCAAAGCAATTGTCGATTATTTACATTGTTGTATAGGTCTAACTACAGCTTGATACTTTCAGTCATCTAGAATATAAAAGCCATTTTTCATGTTTATACTTTTGGTGCGCAGTTGTTCCCCATTCGTTACAAAATATAATATGCATTTTCCCTATTGAAAGAAATGACATTTTCATGTAATGAAGATTATAATGGTCTATGGAGTCAGGTAGAATACTCTCAAAAGCTGTAAAATTATGAATATTTAATAATTAATTCAATTTATTTCAATAAATATAGAAACTACTCGCATATCAAGGATTGTGATCAATCAACCAATAATTACAATTAGTAATAAAACTAAAATCCTTATTAGAGTTCTTTCTTCACTGTCCTTATAAATGTACGGGCTATCTGATAATATTTCTTTACTAAGATCAATTACTATCTAAGGTAGATTATGCTGGATTTCAAATTTTAAGCATACTTTGATACAGTCGTTGGACCATCACAAATTTATGACATTCATAAATATTTAATAATACATGCATTGGTTCAAATGATTCCATTATTTTTTCATTTTAATTTGCGTATCTATATTTCTTGTTTCATCTTACGCATGTCCTAATCCTCATTTACAGGGTACAGATTTAAATAACGATAAATAAACGATCTGTTGTAGGGACATTGACTAATCTCGACATGAAAAATTGTGTTCCTCAATTTTCTCAGACTGACAATAGAGTAGCACAGTCAACAGATCAGGTAATCCCACTCCTAAAATACTTGTCTTTGAATTGGTCTCCAGGTTTAGAAGTGCCTTCCCTCTATCAAATGGAGTCTTTTACGTAAACTTTAGAAAACCCTTTATCTCCTCAGAAAAAATAATACAGTGATAGCGTACGTACTATCTGGGTGTAGAAAACTAGTGAAAACATTACCAAGGAAATGATAAAGGATTTAAATGGAACACTCCAAACTCGGCAGAAAAACCATAACAAGAAATACCTTCAGTATATGTGAAAAGGTGATCGGTGATTACACACCTCTTTTCTTCATTGGGAACAAAGAATGTGACATTACGTTCTATAATCATGTTAAAGCGACAAAACTGTTTCGAGAGGAAAATACCGCAAGCTGAACAAGAGAGATCGACACGAATTGATGGTGTCTGCTTTTACTTATATTTATTTTGGATCATGTAGTCCTGCATCTAAAAATATGTATTTAATATATCCATTAAAAACATGTGGAAAGGTTGACAGCATGATACCTGTTGACGTGAGCAGATATATTTATATACTGAGAGAGAGAGAGAGAGAGAGAGAGAGAGAGGAGAGAGACACAGAGACACAGAGAGAGAGAGAGTGAGACTGTAAAAAGAACGCTTGAGTCAGGCCGTTTTCAGACATCTATGTGACTAGTCCTAGTTTAGCAAGCACCTGCCTCGCTCTTCTGGTTTGTCTTTAGTGTGCTAGAAAACTGTGTTGAAGGATGTGGTCCTGTCAACGTTTATGATCCCCTCATGGAGTAAATCTTAAGATGCCTTCCGAGTTCATCGTCACCCAGGCGTGCGCTAGAAACTATACACTACCGCACACCCTGTGGAACGATCTTTCATAGTTCATGGAATGGATGATGATGCCACGAGGGATGACGAATTCCTCTTTGTTTTGACCCTTAGACCAGTTGTCATGGGAGAGACATAATAGATCCACGACATATGTGTCCCAATCATGGCCGACGGCGATGGATGTCCGAAAGGAAGGAGGGAGGGGTGAAGGAATCTAAGTAGCTTCCCCATTGATTACAGCCATGGAGCTCTGGGGTCATCTCTAAATTTAGAATACAGCTGCACTGCTTAAGTTCAGCCGTCGCATCAGGAAGTCAGAAAGGGGAAAGAAGGATCAGTGGGGGAAGAGGAAAAAACCAGCAGCAAGCCCTTTCCCCCATTCCTCTTATCCTCTCAGAAACTTCCCTTTTGCGTCATAAGATTCTATTGGTATCTTCTAAAGCAGGAGGTAGCAGGAGCGGTGGCATTAGGGTTAGAGGGAGGGGGTGGCCGGAAAGAATAAGAATCGGAGGTCCCACTGAGCACTACTACCTCATCCGGCTGTAATGCCAACACCGACCTCATCTGCGATGCTGCGACCCGAGTTCGCCCCTATCTTCCTCATGGAAGCCATATCCCTCTTATTCCCTCCACACTCGACCAAAACCCTATTCTGGGTAGGGATAGAAGAACCAGTCGTGAGACACCATTTTCACGTTGATGCAGCACGAGCTAAATGGCGGAATGACCATTTTTCTTGAATTAGCTAGTCTTCAGTAGCCTTTGATAATTCTGTCACGCTAGAGTTATGGAGAAAGCCACAACCCACCATTCTTCATCAAGATCAAGTCCACCCTCCTGTAAGTAGATAAGCATTCGAAGAGTCCAGAGTGTGATCGCAGTCACCGTTGGTTCATCGTAGAAGGGTGCGGAACGAATCTCAGACACCAACCAAAAGGCAAAAGAAAGGACGAGGAGCACGTTTTCATGGGTGAGATGGAGATGATCTCATGAAGATTTAGTTCATCGAAATCTCCCTTTCCTCACCGAAATGTGGCAGTCAACGTTGAAAGAACATATTCAGGAATCCTCCGGAAAACAGAAACCAGAAAAATATCTTCTACTTTTCTCCTTAGTATGAAAAATGAGTTTGCCATGGATGTTTTCATTTGCACGCGAATGGACCTCTGTCTCCAGGAGGGTTAACCTCAAAGCTCCAGTTTTTTGCTTGTGTGCGCAGATGACAGAGGAAACGGAACAAGGAAATAAATTCACAGCATCTACATCGAGATAGTGTGGATACCCACCAGACAGCTCCACCCGATTGACCCCGAAGCGGAGCCCAGAAACCTACAAAAAACGTTTCCTTCTCAAAACAGTTGAGACAAGAAAGGGCATACATCTCATTAATGGAGCATCACGTACCATTATTCTATAAATAGAGAACGCGGAGGACCCGAGATCACCACGTATCGAACTCGTCGAGCCATCCGCATCCTCGCCTCCGAGTTGTTTTCCCGAAAAGACACCTTCGTCCTTCAATTCTGTAGTCTAATGGACCGGGTGATGAGGTTGGCGTCGCAGAAAGCAGTGGTGATCTTTAGCGTGAGCTCCTGCTGCCTCTGCCACTCCATGAAGTCCTTCTTCTCCAACCTCGGCGTCAGCTACGCCGTCCACGAGCTCGACGAGTCGCCACAGGGGAAGCAGATGCAACGGGAGCTTGTTAAGCTTGTTGGCCGCAATACGCCTGTGCCGGCCGTGTTCATAGGCGGCCGTCTGCTGGGTTCGATGGATAAGGTTATGGCTTTCCACCTCAGCGGAGACCTTCTCCTCATCCTTCGTGATGCCGGAGCCATCTGGCTGCTGCCATCGAAGGCTGGCTACAAGGATGATTGACTGACCAACACCGAGTCTATTTTGTCACAACAATAAAACAATGTAGCCGAGTTGAGTAAAATAAACAAGCGAAGATTTATTTTTCTCTTCATCCCTCTTTAACCCAAAGAAATCATGCGCGAATATGAGATGTAGGAACCTTGTACTTTTGTTCACCACATTTATGGGCAACTGTCTTAAGCTCTGGTCTGTGAGCCTTTCTTTTCTCTACTTTCCAAGAAAATGAAGCTCGCAGTTGTCATTAAATTTAAATAGATCTTCATATTGCTTATACGGCTCAAGCAGAGGACCGTCGCCAGTCCCTTCCTGTGTGTGAAGCCCCAGTTCTTGCGAATTTTTCTTTTCTACTAACCACTGAGGAAGACTAAGCATGCAGTGGAAGAAGAACGGAACGCCCATATGTATCGTTATCATGGTGTACATAGAGACAGCACCATTCAGAATTAAATCTTGTGAAGATTTCCATGAAGGAAATATATATCGTCAGTATCTGCTCACTTCGGCGTTTTGATGATCCAACTGGTGAGACCCTCCTTTCACCACCCTCTTCTCGGCTAATTGCATCCATCCGACGAGATGGTGCCTTCTGCTCTGCAACAGCCATAAAACTTCATCATCGTACGAACTCTTTTTAAATTCGAAAAATTTATTAGTACGTCATATTTTCTTTTCGATCGACCAGGCGTGTCTGAGCATCTTTTGCTTTCATTCTATGTATCGTCTCGTCTTTTCTTTGAGTGAATCCTCGATTCTTTACACGTCTGACCTCACTAGTATTACCTAACTTTATGACCATAACTTTTTGACATTCTGGGAGTATATGAAATGCCAATGAATTATTTACATTGTATGACGTCAGAAAATTTATGGACGGAGACTGTGTTGAGCAAGAGTAGGGAGCTGAAAAGAAAAAAAAAAAAGGGATATCTTGTATGGATATATCGTAATCTCGAATGCAGATTGTGGAAAGGAAACTAATAAGTGACTTAAAATTAGGCATTCCACAGAACGACTGTTGAAGGTAATTTGTTTTAAAGTGAATCAACGATTTGCTTTGATGGTAGTTCTCGTTGAGTGCCACTAAAAATATGGAGATCAGTAAAAGTCGTGCAACCAGATATTATACATTATAAAATATGTTTTACGTTTAATGATTCCTTCCCCTGTAGTAGATAAAAAAAACGTAATAAACACAGTGTTAATAAGCATTGGACTAGATAGAGAAGTCCAATTCTGGTAATGCCAAGTCAACTTTTAACGGTGGCTTGAGGCTCCGCTCACATATAACCCGCAAGCAAGCCTAACCTTATGGCTAATATGTCATCTCTTAGATACCTTGCACTCTTCTCGGATTATGTATTAAATCCAAAAAACGACATGTGCAATAAGTTTAGCTCCAAACTGGCGTATTAGATGGCTTCCATTGATTAACAATCATCCCATCAACCCCTTGGTCGTGTACGTATTCGATTCTCCCAGCTGAGATTTTACCATCAGAAAAATTTAAGATCAAAGCATTTCTTCATCAATCAAGAAATTTTATTTCATTGGGCTATACTGCAACTGACTGTATATATGAAACTCCTTTGAAAGTATAAATAGATCGAGCGTACTACTGTGTCTGCGGATGGGTGTGAATAAAATCAGAAGATGAAAGGGAGATGTCATCAGCCACAGGATGGAGGCGTAGACGAGTACAGATACTTAGAACATCTATTTCTTTTTCGGGACAATTCTTCTCGGAGGTATGGGAGAATACGATCAGATGGAAGAGCTATTGTATACATCATATACATAAAGCCAATGTTGACTAACCATGCTTTTATTGTCCATGAATAATAATTTGAAACCTACCCAGAAGAGCAGCGATTTCCATGTTCTACAGTTGATAACGATGAACACCAGATTTCTCTCGACTGGAGTAGCTGACATCACACGTATTTTTCTTACCTAAATGGATCATTCTCTTGACTGGTTATCTATATAGATTATGTTATGAAAAATAAACAACCAAATAAAGACATATTTTGAATATGCAAAATAGTCTATAGGAGCCTAGAAAATAGTTACCTCGGATCTTTTCAAAGGGTTTGACTCTTTATTGAAGTGGTGCATTTAGTTAGTTACGAGGTATCTTTAATGACAACGCAAAAGCATCAGTTAAAGAAAAAAGATTCTATCATTTAAAGAATTACCATAAACCTTGCAGCATTGCCATAAACCTTGTAGATCCTTGCAATGAATAAGATGAAATCCGTCCTTATTCATCTTATGCGTCGAACACTTTTCTTTCCTTTGCTGTAACATGAAGCATATACCCAGATTGAGGAAGTTGCCAAAAGGGACATTTTTCACGGATTTCCTATACGTTTTATCTCTCTCACGTACTGGAAAGAAGGAACTCAACACCCTTACATTTCCGTTTATTGACGCAAAATACACTCGGCCCCGGTTAGTCAACTATCGCTGTATCGAGCCTTGGAAGGCAGCAGCCAAATGGCACCGGCGTCTCTGAGGATGAGGAGGAGGTCTCCGCTGAGATGGAGAGCCATGACCTTCTCCATCGTCCCCACCAGACTCCCGCCGATGAAGACCGCCGGCACCGGCGGCTTGCGGCCGACGAGATCAGCCAGTTCCCCCAGCATCTGCTTCCCGTGCGGCAGCTCGTCGAGCTCGTGGGCGGCGTAGCTCACGCCGAGGTTGGAGAAGAAGGCCTTCATGGAGTGGCAGAAGCAGCAGGAGCTTACGCTGAAGATCACCACTGCTTTCTGCGACGCCAACCACATCACGCGGTCCATGGAGTCGCAGAGCATAGAATGTATAAAATTTCCCCCTCTGACGGACTATTTGCAGGAGGTGGCCAACGTCTTGCTGAATTCACTGTGTGGAGAGCTTGGGTTCTCCATCTTATATAAGTATAATGCCAGGAATCTTCACTGTTTCTGGTCTCGACTGTTCCGACGACGGAAAGGAATGAATATTTGTCGTGTTTAGATCTCTGCAGTCCTCTTCGTCGTCATTCGGAGAGCTTCGAGTGGATGCCCACGCAATCTTCATGAAGATGCTGTCAATCTATCATCTTCATCCTCTTTCTCTGGTTCCCTGGAGGCTCTTGTTATCCTACCACCCCACTAGTGACGTATCTTCGTTTCACAAAGTTAAATCAAGAAGCTTCGGGGGTTGATCATTCGAAAGAAAGATCGTCCTAGAAAGATATAACACTCATTTGCTTCTAGATGAAAACATTCATCAGTGAACCTTTTTCTAACACTAAGGCCACGAATGGAAGGTAATCTTCATGGTGATGAGAAATCCTTGAGAAGGCTTACTAGTGAGATTAGACTAGGATCCACCATGGGATCCGGAAAGCATGACAACATTTTTCTACCGATTGTTTACGTTGTAAATCCTAAAAAATTATGAAGGGGAACAACCATGACCTACGACAAAGGGAGAGTTGGGAAGCAATTATTAAAAAATATTAGGAAAATTAAATAATAAATTATAAATTAATGGAAAGCAATGTAGACGATCAACTATTGTTGAGGAAAAAGGCAAATATTCCACCTCCGTGCTCTCTAGATAACCTGCAATGCAAGAGAGTTTGACGCTACGAAGTCTGAGCTCAGGAGATGTGGTGGTACAAAACTGATAATACCCAATACAAGATTCCATGAACAAATAAATAATCATTATGATAATTCTGTGTAGCTTTCTGAAGCATGGTGAGGCTAGTTTGAAGTTGTGGAAGCTTCTTCTTTTGTCAAAGCTTAATGCTTGGAATAGATGCTCTTTTCTGATATTGAAATGTTGCCTTTGAGATGAAAAGAGCTTTTTCAATTTTCCTTGTTAATCTTTTCATAGGATATTTTTTCCTTTTTCATTCGAAGATCAAAATGGTTGTAACATGATTTTCAACAGTCCACTATAATATTTCTAATGGTTACTAGTAAGCTGCCAGACAACTAGTTTGCACATTGGTTTTTATTAGACGTTGGTTTATATCTTGTCTTGTATATATACTACAATAAAATCTTATTTATATAAGCAGCTTCTTATAAATGAGCAACTACATAATTTTTTTAAGTAACTAATTTTGACTACTCAAGGAACTTTATGATGTGTTAGTACAAGTTATTGTGATTAGACTGATACTCACATAAGATATTAACAATGTACACCATTATATCCTTATGTGGTTTTGGTCATTATGAGTGAGAGATCTCTTCTTACCAAGTAAGTCAACCCATGCATGCAGAATATAAGAAAAACTACAAGGGAGACAACAAATGGTCTAGAAATCACATGGGTCTGCCAATGGTTAGACAAATAGGTTTTCAATAGTTTCATATACACAACATAAATATGGAAATGTAAAACTAATATTTTATAGTTGAGTATATTTTTTCAAGATTAGAACTTGGAGGACTTCAGAAAAAAAAATTACTTCTTAAGTGTTGATGATATATAGTAATTATAATTAGTAGAGGATAGGTTCATGAGCACTCTATAAATGACCACAAAACTGATCAGTTAGCTTTAGAATCTCTTCTTCCATTGACTGTTCTCATCGATCCATTTTTTACAAAGAATTTTAAGATGTGGTGAAGTCTTGAGTTTATTGATAATTTGGTAATTTTTAATATTTCAATTATCGTAAATTCAATATCCTTAATTTAAAGTGATAAGAAAAACACCATATTATCTTCAACATAATTTGATAACTATTTTCTAGCCAATCATATATATCAAATTCCCTTCCTCCATCCTCCACTCTCTTAGCTCCTACCTCTCACCTTAGTAGTCAGACTTCACACTTAGATTGGAGACCCATCTCTCCTATGGCTTGACGTGACTTAGTCATTGTTTATTAAATCATGTAAATTTAAATTTTATAAAATTAAAAAATACGACTTTTTAGATATTTTGAAATATTTTTAAGTAAATATATCAATTATAATTTAATAAAACTTATAAAATCAGCAATAATTTTCCAAGTCAATCATAAGGATGTAATATAATATCGAGTATTTATTTAGAATTTTCCTCAAATAATACTATTTTTTATAAATTTTATATTAGAAAATTAAAAATATATATTTAAAATTCACAGAAAAAGAAAATAAGGGTGCGGACGTCAAGATGACATCAACACTTGATGAACATGAATCAAGTGAAAATAGAGTTCCGCCTGATGATTCTTACATAAGTGATTACAAATGATTTAATTAATCAAATTAAGATCTGTAAAAGTAGAAAAAATCATAATTGAATGAAGTATATCTTAGTAAATTTAAATCACACAAATTAGTCACTAAATGAGGTAAAAATTAAGTTGAAAGTAGAAAAATAAAATTCTAACATCGCGATGGTTATGCGTCGACGATGCACTAAAATCTTGAGTGTTTGGAAGGATCATCGTGTAGTGTCCACAACCTAAAAGGTTCTCCTTAGATAAGGACAATGTGGGTAATCTTTAGATCTCTTTACAAAGTTTAGAGATCAATAAAATGAGTCGTCAAATCATCTCTAACAACCATCACCCAGTAGAGTGAAAAAACGACGATTTTGCAGCTCTCTAACAACTGTCACTTGACGGAAAGGAGCTGGATAGAGGTGGGGCACATATCAAGGAGCTTCATCCTCAGGTCTACACAACAAGAGAAGGCTCTTCATCGCATCTAGTACACTCTCAAGAGGTGACGACTCGTCTCTTAATAGATCGTCCTCTTCCCAATGATGGCTTATTTGTCGATCAATTAGAGATATTTTACTCGATAGATTTGTGATCATTTTATCACAAATCGTTCAGTAATTTTAGTAACAATACTTCGTAAATCGTGTTGACGAGATTTTTGCCGATGATCTAGCGATTTTGGTTGCCTAACCCTTCACCGACGATCTGCATGAAAGTTACGATAATCAGATAAAAAAATATGAGTTTTGGCTCTAGGATGATTTGAACCTACGCCGGTCGCTCGTCCTTTTTAGGAAAGGTGTGATGCAGGTTTAGTCTTACATTACTTGTATGCTAAAGTTTCAGGCAAATATATAGTAATGTTACATTTGCAAACAAGTCCCTTTCTCACATGTGTACAACCACTCTTTACCTCTATCGGTCCAAGTATTTAAGAATGATGTCAAGCACTTAAATGTTTAAACACTCCTTAGAATAACAATTTAGACTTCACTTCTTCTATTCACATCTTTATCACTTCTTCACTCATAGATATACTTACAAGATGTTCTAGTTTTCAATACTCATCTAAGAATAATATTGATCCTATATTTTCTTTTTTTTATGGCTTGATTTTTGAAATTTGCACTATATTTCTTCTTATATATATATCTATATATATATAGTGAATAAGTAGCTTTTACTGTAGACAAATTTTGACAATAAAAATGATGTTTAATACATTTCATGTGTACTCTTGATTTTCAGGACTTTCACTTTATTCACTTATTTTGTAGTAAGTATTTTTTTATGCACGATATTTGACAATGAGAATGATGTCTCACACCTTCTATGTGTACTCTTTGTTTCTAGATTTTTCTTATTACTCTCTTCTTTTTTTTTCGAAATAAGTAAATTTTCCTCACAAGTCCTATAAATCAGGGTGCAAAAATCTCTATTAAACTCAAATGATCAATCAAATTTTTCACATCAAGTAAATACTATTCATCAAGATCATAAAGTGAAAATCTATAAAATCAAATTGATGTTATCTATCATATATCTAAGGAGTATTTCAACATTTCATACTACTAGATCATTATTTTGACTCAATAATAATCTTTCTAATATCTTTTGGTATTAATTAATTTAATTGATTTAATTTTTCATGCATGCAATATGATGTAATAAATTTGTAAATTAGATAGTTCTAATAATTTTGTTTTTAATTTTCAATTCTTTTTTTAGCAATAATAAATTTGTCAAAAATAAATCGAAATTATCTTCTTTATAGTTGTAATTTCGAATTTCAATAATATATGTCTAGGGGATTGAAATGTGAGAAAAAGGTTCACTAGAATTTCAAATTTTAGGCTGTTTTTTCTCTGCTGTTTTTAACAATATGTTGTTCTTGACAGAAAACCAGAAAATAGATGTTGTAGTTTTTCCAAATTTTATTTTATTTTTATTTTTTTAGTTGTTATTCTAAATGAGAATGAAAAAAATAAAAAAAAATGCAAACATATGTTCTTGATCATCCTACAGCATAAATTAATAATTAATACTTCACCCCCCAACTAAAAAATAACATTGTCCTCAATGACACAGAAAAATCGAAATAGAATATATAGAAAATATAATTTTCAAGTGAAGCATACATATATGCAAAGTTAAGCATTAAAAATATTATCATAACTGATAAAGCTCAAAAAGACATCACCTCAACCTTGTTTTTAATTTTCTACTTCATCTTACACTCCTCCTGTACTTTTTCGAAAAAACAAATACAGAAACAAGTACTGTAAAATTCTAAGAAAAATAAAGCTTAAAAAAAAATCAAACAGAATGAAATAAAAACCATGGGTTACTTCTCATGCAGTGCTGAGAAGTAACCCAAAATGTCTTTAGTTGAAAAGCTCTTAGATCATATAAGATGATCTATGGCCATCAAAATATATCTGTATCCCAAAGTAAGTTTCATGATATTTTTTTTTCAGATTTAACATAAATTTATATACTTCATATATATACCTTGACATACTTTCAGCCAAAACAAAATAAAAATTGACAAAATTCTCCTAAAAATAATATTTCTATTTTGAAAAGAATTTTTCCTCATTT